GTGTGTGTGTGTGTGTGTGTGTGTGTGTGTGTGTTAGCACAGCCAGCTAGAGTTATTTCCTTCATAGGAAACAGTTACAGGATGTGTGACACTGGCAAAAAGAGAGAGATCAGCGTGCAAACACTCACGTGTTCGAATCACAACACTTCTATTAAAATAAATAAACCACTCGTCTTTCTCCGGTCAACAGTCACATTCCATTTTATACAAGTTAAAACCCTCCCATTATTGTATTCATGCACTAATCCACATTTTAGTGGCTAAATATTTATATATGCACAGATAAGTTAATGATGAGTCAGCAAATGAACAGAACACAGAGAGGAACTGTGATATAACAGCACTAAAAGTTAGTTTTTAAATGTGTTTTAAGTGTAATAATCAATTAAATCTTCTTCCTGAATCCATAAAAAGGGGTCCTATTGGGCTTTTTCTTCTTTTGTGATATAATATATCTAATGTACAAGTAATCCCTGTGAACAAACAGCTCGGACTTTAGATTGCTCTAAATGTTCAGATTCAGATATTTTTCTCTATGTTTGGCTACTGTGTGAATCATGCAAAGCTGCTCTAGGATAGTCCAAAAATAGAAGTATGGCTGTCTCTAAGTCCCACCCTGATAAAAGATGGCTGGGAATTAAATGGAAGTAATGTGATGCTTCTGGATTTTGAGTTTTTCTCTTGTTGAGTTTTTGATCCGTCTATCCCTCCATACATACAACCATTCATGCTGCTGACATCAGGGATGATAGATAAGACAAAGTATAAGATAATATCCTCCATTATATCCTCTTTAGATTCCCATCATGTTCTTGATCAAACCAACGTCACACCTCACTGCTTACATCCCATCTGGCAGTGACATTGTTGTAAACTCCACTGAGTTTCTAAGAGTGGTTTTGGCTCTCGTGTTCATCAACACTGGTGTGGGTTTATTCTTCGAGGAGGAGGAGGATTAGCTCAGCATAATTTCAAACCAATGCTGAGCACATTTGCTTTCTAATAGTGCTGAGTAATGCTGAGTAAAGAGCTTTTGTGGGCTTTTAGGTGTCAGTTATTAAAAATACATTTCTGGTGTGGTTGTGGTGTGTGTGGCCACAGATGTGTAGCAGACATGCATGTGTTTTCAGTTAAACGGGTTGTATGTGTGCTGAGTCACTGATTGATAATGAGCATGTACTTTTCTTTTAATAATACATTTAAATTCCCCTTTTTGTTGTTGTTTTTGAAAACGTGTCAAAAATGCAATGTTGCCTGTAAGGTTTTTTTTAAGACAGCTGAATCATGTGAGAGAGCGACTGTCTGTCTGAGGTCTGTGGCGGAGACGTCGGCTACAAACCGAATGCCTGAGATAACGGCGTGATATGCCGCCGTAAGGCAGTCGTGAGTGCTCGTGTTTTGGAGAAAGTAGTGAAGTCTGAGTGTGTCTTTGTGTATGTGATCAAGTCAGTTGTTGATTGTGAACCTGCAGTCATTTCTCCGTCATTTCAGGTCCATCCATGCATTTTCCTAACCACAAACAGCCATTCACAGGCACACTACAGCCAATTTAGACTCACCAATTCCTCCTAAAGTCCAAAGACTGTACGAGGAAGCCACAGAGAACTCACACAGACACACTGAGAGACTGCAAGCTACACACAGAAGTCTGATTTCAAGCCCTATTTTCTAAATTTTCGCCTTTTTAAGTGTCAGAAAGAAGGATTAGCTTATCCAGGTTAAACTCATTGGCTAATGGCTTTCAAGGCAGTTTTCTTTATATAGTGCCAATCACGATCCAATAACAGAGAGAAAACCCAACAAGCAAGCACTTGGTGACAGTAGGAAGGAAAAACTCCCAGGAAATCTGCATTATGGATGAACTGGAGACAGTTAGCTTTTAGAACACAATGACAAAAATGAATTATAGTAGTCCAGCCTAGAAGTAATAAATGTATGAACTAATTTTACAGCATCATTCTGAGACAGGATATTTCTAATTTCTGAGATATTTCTCAAATGACAGAAAGCAGACCTTCATATTTGTTTAATATGCACGTTGAAGGACACATCCGGGTCAGAAAGAATTCCAAGATTTCTCACAGTCTTACTGAAGGACAAGGTAAAGCCGCAAGGCGTAAGCATCCGGTTAGACTCCATGTTTCTAAGATTTTAGGTCTGACTACAATAACCTCCGTTTTATCTAAATGTAAAAGCAGGAAATTAGAGGTCATCCAAGTATTTATGCCTTTAAGAAACGCCTGCAGTTTAACTAATTGGTGTGTGTCATCTGGCTTCATGGATAGATAACGCTGGGTATCATCTGCATAGCAGTGAAAATCGTTATCTTATCTCACTGTCACTTGTTATCCATCATTTAGAGCTGGTTTGTAACACCCTGGACAGCTGAATGCAAACATAGTTACAGGTACAGAAAAACAGCCACCTACCTGTATGTACGTATGCTATACCTTTTGCGTTGTACTACCACACAGCTGCAGTTGTCGTGAATCATGTCTGTTAGAGCTGCTGATTGGCTCTTTGGGGGCAGGAATAAAACAGCCCTCCCAGATTAGATTTCTATTCCGGGTTCTCGCTCTTGTAATGTTTATTGGAGTTGGAAGTGTAGATGTGGATGCCTGTCAGCAATAGCTGAGCTACACACACAAACCCACATACACACACCTGTGTTAGTTATCACAGTGACAGTGATCTCACACAGCAGCCAGCCAGTGTTTGGAGGCATTTACTCAAGAGTGTAATACTAGCGTCCCGTGAGAACAGCGTATCAAGAAGTAGGTCAGCAGGCATCAAAAACAGTGCAAACACCGCACGCGAAACTCAAACAGCTTGAGAGGAAACACTCGAAGTTTAATGTTAAACTACTGAGTGTTTAATTAGGTAAACGGTCAATTCAATAAGCTAATTCTTCTAGTGTGTTTTACTCTTTGTAGTATACTTTGTACATAGTACAATTTACTCTTTACTCATTGATTTCTTTTCTTATTGAGTTTTCTTATCAATTTCTTTTTGTTGTATCTTATTTTTATGTCTTTTTATTTTCTATTTTTATTGTTTTTGATAATATCTCTAATTTCGTTTTACTGATTCACTTTATAATCCTTGTACTGCTGTAACAAGGAAATCTCCCTAGTATGGGATTAATAAAGCTAATATCTATAAAAGATAGAAGTAAAAACTGTCACTATGTGCTTTTTTTCTGTACAGTAGATTAATGTATGTCCTAAATTACCTCTAGTCATAACAGAACTCTTAACAGACAATAAATATTGACCAACCACAACAAGTTATTTTTCCCCCTTGAGGCCTAAAAATGGTTCTTCTTTCTTTTTTTATGTATCTTTAGTTATTCTTGGACCTCTTTCCTTTATCACACTTTCCAATACAAATGTCATTTTTTTGAAAATTATTACTTATATTCTCCTGCATTTGATTTTTATTCAGTAAAACTTTTGCAGAAACATCTGCGGGTTTGCGTTCCAGTCAACTGCAGGGGCGTCAAAACTTTAGTTATTTTTGAAACTGACAAAAGATACAAGCCCGTTATTGCTTTGAACTTTAGTAACCGGAGATAACATTTACACAACCTCCTGTGGAGAGGCTGTACAATATGTGTACCAGTTATAGTCCTGCCATGTGATAGGTTTAGCTGAAGGGGGAGACAGTTAATGAGTGATGGGGAGAAAGAGGGAATCAGGTCTATTTCCTCTGTGCTGGGAAAGACAAACATGGGCAGACGAGAGGAAACCAAGACGGCACAGGGAAGGCGACTGATCTTTGGCTCTAATGGAGCCTCTTTAACACCACCCAGTCAGTGGAGGATGATTTATTGGGGCCTGATGTCACATTAACTGCCGCGTTGGGTTTTCAGGAAAATAGCCGGAGTTACTGTAAAGACCATTAATGATAGGGAACACTGATTTCTTATCATTACCTTCAGCTTTTCCTCCAATGCTGCTGTCCCTGATCATTACTGGTGACTCCCACTGACTTAATAAAATAACCACAAACAAAGCAGAAAGAAAAATGATTGCTAAATTTCATAGTATACTGTACAATTAGCAGATGCGTAGTGGCTCAGACACAATATGGCACTGTATGGAAAAACAGATTTTCTGGCCCTGAAGTGAGTCCCAGCAGTTAACAGCTGTTTACAGATCATGAAGCCGACATTTAGAGGAGCTGGAAACCGTGGGAAATATTTCTGCACACAGGAGGAGGACTTCCAGAGTTAAGTGAAAGTTGCGTCAGGGCCAGGTGTCAAACTCCTTTTAGTGTCTGAGCCACATGAAGCTCAATTCGATCTCAAGTGTGCCAGAAAAGTAGAACCACCTACCCAAGTCTACCGAAAACTCTCAGCAAAAGAAGGTATTTTTTTTGTTTTGTTTAATTAATTGTATAAAAAGCCTAAATCCTCAAGGTGCTTCATATTATAAGGTAACAAGAGAACCTCCCAAAACACTGCGAAGATCATTTAGCAGGCTGCATGTTAGACACCATGTCTGGTCTCTAGGGGTGTGAAATAGTATGAGGCGATTAGCATTGCTGCAGATGACTTCTTGCCCACTTGTGTTTACAAAATTGTTTTATTTCATCCACACAGAAAAGTGTTCCAGCATGAACAATCTCTTTAAGGTCACGCCAGCACATCTCAGTAGGATTTTAGTCCATTCTAAATCCTTAATTTTGCTGTTTTTGAAGCACTCCGAAGTGGACTTGCTGGTGTGTTTTGGATCCTTGTCCTGCTGGACTAGCTGAGGGTGCTTGAGCTTCAGGGCATGAACTGATGGTGAGAGATTTTCCTCCAGGATTTTCTGTTAGAGAGCAGAATTCATGGTTTCATGACCATCACACTACCACCACCATGGTTCACTGGAGTATTTGCAACCCTTCCCAGACTCATGGATGTCAGTGACTTTCAGCTTTTTCAGCTGTTTCTTTAGATCATGGCTTCATGTGTTGGTCTGCTTCACTTTGTCACACGGGTTCTATTTAAGTGATTTTTGGATTCAACAGTGTAGTTTGTATTTACTCGGCCTGTCTTTGCCTAATATTAAAATTAGTTTGATGATCTGAAACAAGTGTGACAAATATGCAAAAACAAAGAAAACAAGAAGGGGCAAACACTTTCACAGCACTGTAGTCCTCGCCACAACGTCACAAAGTCAGAGTTAACAGTGAGAAACAGCATGAATCTCAGTGTGCACATATTTATTTGAAAGGGTTTTATATTGTAACTCAGTAGGAAGGAGAGCGGGAACAGAACTCAAGGTAATGGTTTTAAAGTTAGGAAGGCAACTTTAAAAAAGAAAAGAAGGAATTTTAATGGGTTTTCCCTCTGAGTTTTATGGTTGCTCATTAACAGCTATATGCTAGAGCCGGGGTGAGGTCACATTAAAGTAAATACACACAAACACACACACACAAGCCAAACCAGTGGAGAGCAGCTGTAAAATCAGCATGGGAAAAGGTTTCTGCTCTTTTTTTCTACATTGTTCCTCCCAGAGTTTATTCTGCTGCTTAATTTGGGGCTTTATTCTGTTTCTCTGTCTGTCTTTTGTCAGTTGAGATTTAACCTGAAACACAGCAGTGTTTGAAATCCTATTTTATGCTTTGACCTTGACGGCTCTTACTACTGTCTTGGTGTATTGGCACATTTTGTGAACATTATCCTGCCTGTAGTCAGGACAAAACTAAACTATAGTTCACTGTTGCCGACTTCAGATACTAGTTGGAGCGAGATTCACAGAAATTGGTTAACAGCTTAATACTTTTAAAGGATGAAATGTGTAGCAGGTGAGACCTGTAGATCCTGACCATTCCTGTGTCTGTGTCAGGGATAATTAAGGATCCTGCAGATCTGCAGATGTAAAGCTCCTCTGGCAGAGTCCAAAAATAAAATATAAATATATAGATCTGGAAATGAGCAGTTCTCTTTTCAGTAACACAGCCTTCCTGA